CCTCATTTGTTAACCTTTTGTCAGTGTACTACACTATAATTTGCTCAGCTGTTTCAGAGCAGTGATGTGACTGACTGAGAGTGTATTTCACCATGCTCTGCTATCTTTGTTTTGCTTCACCCCGTGCCTGCTGCACTTACAGATATGGGTAAGAGTGTTGATACCCCTCCACTAAAAAAAAAAAGTTATCTCTGAAATAAGTTGAAACTGACAAATGTATGTGGTATCCACTGTTCTCTGTTCCATATGTAACAGAACAGACATGTCCTTGTTAATTTTAAATACAACATTTTAATGCATAAGTCAAGAAATGAAAATGGCAATCAGAGCAAATCTATTGGGGCCCTTAACCACATATCCTGTAGCACAACATTTAGAGAAATCTCTACAGTCTTGCAGCTTATGTAGCTCTGAATGAGACTTGTGCACTTCTCAACTTGATGATCTGGGTCATCTGTGAACATAGAACTGATGTGACTAAAAAGCTCTCCATTAAAGGCCATTCTTCCAGATGCACTTTTCACATTTCAAAAGTGGGCTCTGCCTGGGTCATTTTCCACACTTCCATTGAGAAAGCAACGTATGACTGATCATTCTTGTACCCCACATTGCACTAATTCCAACATATCTTTCATTTTTAAAACACTTACATACTCACGTGTATGTGCATGAAGGTGTGCAGTGTGTGTCTCACGATTACCTGAGGTGGTTGTCGGGTACTTGTTTGACAGCCAGGTGGCCACCTAGTGACACTACCACTGGTCACTGCAAGGATTATTTTGACATGGCAGGTTGCTGTTGGCTAATAGATACATGTATCAAACACAACGCTCCAGCCCCTTTCACCCACATACACACACACATATCTTCAGGTGTATGTGTTCATTGTCCAGGTGTTAAGGGAAAGTTCTTTGCAGTTCAGCTAAAACCTTCTTGATGACAGACACATGGCTGAAACCATCAAGAGAGACTGTGTGTGTGTGGAGAGGTAGCTCTCACTGATCCTCTATACCAGTATCCAGAAATGAGGCTGTGGCAGTTAAAGCCCCCATCAACAGCCTGAGCCACTGTGTGTGTGTGTGTGTGTGTGTGTGAGGAGATGTGTGTTGTCACATTCACTCCTCCATCTCTCTCTGATCCGTCCTTATCTGATCTGTCCAAGCTGGGCCTGAATGGCCTAAACATTCAGACATTCACTACATTCAAATGTTCCCTCACTGACTTTGTAAAGACAGATGTGAAAAACAGAGCTGCTCCAATTTCACTGCAAATGTCTCATAAAATTAAAGGTCTGCCTGTCCACCAGCAGTTTTAGGCCAGTTTTAGTCCAAGTCAGTGTCACATGTTTACCTCCTTTACTACATGATTTCCAGATATTTCTTTTTCAGTCTACTACCCTAATTTTTGGCCTATCATGAACATATATGAGGTAAATTCCAGGTCTTTGCCTGTGTAAATCACTGTATGTTCATATTCAGCTAATGAGAGTTAGCGAGCTACCTTTGAGGCTGCAGTGTAGAAAATTACAGGAGTGGTGGTTAGTGGTTGGTGTACTTTATTGCACTGGTAATCAGTGCTGACAACATATTCTGATAATACAAAATAGCAGAATAAGAAAGAAAATCATAGAAGCTACAGCTGTATATAAAGAGGGGGGGAAAGCATGTATGAAAATACATATGATACCTACTGGAGGTCCCAGTTTACCCACCTTTTGAGTGTACTTGTGGGTTGAAAGGTCATCATACCTCGTCAGGGTAAAATACAGTCAGTTAATAGAATGTCCACTGCACTAATATGTAGTCTGCATAGATGTGAAGCTTGGCGTCCATGTCTTGATGCCCACCAGCCTGACTCTCATACCTGCTCCGCCTGTGTTGCACAATGTGGCCGTTTCAGGGCAAAAAACAGAGAGACCAGAGAAAAGCTGAGAGGGAAGAAAAGGGGGAGAGGACTGGAGGAGAAAGAACTGCAACTGTCATCACAAACAAGAACCATCTGTCTCATTTGTGTAACTTGTTTTCTTTTAATATGAGAAGTATGTTGAAGAGATCTGGGAGTTTGAGAGAGGCCTAGGAGGGCTGGGACCTGGGCTAAAGCCAGCTGTCTCCTGGGTTCTCTGAACGAGTGGCATTAATATCCTGCCAACCTGCACCGTTAACCCTTCACACTCACAGCACACATCGAGAAAAAGAGAGAGCATCATTATTTATGCAGGAATCTGAGGTGTAATCTGAAATATTAGCTGCATGTCTGAGAGAAGAAGTCCCTGAAAAATGTATGACAAATAGTGAAATCACATGTTATCTCATTACTTCTTATTAAACAACACACTCAAATTATATTCATTACCTTGAAGTTACTTCAGTATGTGGTCTTCATTATAAAGCTCAAGGAATTTGTGTGTGGTGAGCAGTAGTCAGTGCTTACACTCCCGCTGTTACTATACATGCGAAGTCTATGCTGTTATACTGAGTAAAGGTTTCAGCTTTACATTTGAAAAATTAATCAATTAATTTGCAGAATCTTCCAAGTTTTGCACACAAGTCCAAACTGTCCAATTGTATTTAGAGGACATTCCACTTTAGTCCTGCACTGTGTTGCATTAATCCTTCAACATGTAGTTTCTCAGTCCTACTTACACCTGCTATAGAATGCTGATGTGAGACTGGAAGTTACAGGTTTTATTCCAGAAGTAAGAAAACATTATTCACAACCTCTAAGACATTTGTAATAATGTAAATTTAAAAAATCTAGCCTTAGAAAATAAAGTGGCCTACAGTAACTCAGCAATATATGGTATGTTACACTTTAGATATAGATGGTCAAAATATTTAGGTTTTAGTGGCCTTCGACAAACATTGTTTCCCATAAGCTTTTGACCATAAACATCACACATGTTGCTTAATTCAAAAACCTGTTAACATTAAAATCACAAAAGGATTCAACATCTAAAAGCAAGTCCTATAGTGGATGCCAATTAGTAAAAACCAAACTAAAAATAAACAACCAAACAAATTTTTTTTTCCAAAAGCCTTATGAAACAAATGCTGAAATGTGAACGAAACTAGTGGAAGAGAGGTCCAAGCGTAATGGCTAGCCAATGACTGTAGCACTTCATACCTGTTAGTAAGGTATGTCTCTTGCTGTAGCAATGTGTTATCTGGAATGTATAAGAGCATTTTTAAGATATCTAGACCTCTGAGGTTTTGAGACTTAATTATATATCACTGGTTTTCCTGTTTCCTGTAGCTTAGTCCTTGTATTTTTGGGCTTCATTGCAAAGTATGCTGAACAAGAAGAAAGTTCAGTCTTGTATGTAATCTTTCTGTAATTTACACATTTATGATGCTGATGATTTCATCTAAAACATTTGATGAATGTTTTCCTTTATGTGATGATAAAAGGAGAATGGTAAATGCTAACACTCAGTGAAAAGGTACTGCAAGAGTCATAAAGTCAGTACTTAGTACTGTCAGTTACATAGCCATATCTACCTAAAGTTTACTAATGTTAGCTAACAGTAGCTACCACAAGCTATTGTATGTACAGCTGTGGCATCCAAACCCCTGAGTGATATATTAAGAAATGTGTTTTATTGCTTATGAATTCAACACATATCAGAGTACAGGTGCAATATCTACAAATACAAAAGTAATTGATAATATTTTTATCTATCTGGAAAAACACTTCTCAGAGAAAACCTCATGCTAAGCTAATGTTGTCCTACATTTGTTTCTTGATCCAGTAATTGAGCTCAACTAAACTTAGTGTCCAACAAAAACAAAACAAAACAAAATTAAAATGAGTCCTGATAAATGAAAGACATGATAGTGAAGCAGTAAAGTGTCAGAAGACTAAGTAAGGTTTGAAATGTCTGTCTTTCAAAGGTTTGTCTATTCCAGTATCTTTTTTTTTATTCTTTGTCCTGAAAATTGTCTATATATATGCTAGGTATTACCCTAGTACAAAATACTGTATCAGCTACTGTATGTGTAGTTTCATTCCACAAATATTTGTCTCACTTTTCAAATCCCTGTATTTGTTGCATCTTAATTCCGACACCCTCCCACATGCACATACACTACGTGGTACATGTAAAACACTACTGTCAGCTCTTGTCTCCGCCACAACCGCAGCAAATCACAAGAGGCATTACAGTTCTCTGACTGACTGTACAGCACATCTGGCTGTCTGACAGACTGAGCACACACACAAACACACATGCCCACAGACATTTCCAATCAGTGGCCACCACCACTCACCTCATCTAGGCCATCATGGTGGCTTAATGAGGGACAGATTCCTGCCATCGTAGACCCAGGGTGGTTAGAGTTACACTTTCCGCAGAGGGGGTTTGACTGGAACTCGTGTAAGTCAAAGATATTGCAAGAGAAAGAGCGAGAAAGCCAGAATAATTGGGGCAGTATGTTGATAAAGACAGAAGCAGGGGAAAATCTTGTGCCATGTGGTCTGCATTTTGCTGTAATCCCTGTTCTAGCCTGTTGTTCCTGCCTCTGTTCCCTCTTCAGCCCAAACCCAATCAGGCAGTCACTGAAACCCAAGTGGCTGCTCTGGTTCTTCCCAAAACCAGACTACTGGGTTTCCAGCACCCCGGGAGACACATTCATCTATCTCTGATTGATATACTGTATGTGGTGGGATAAGGTGCATAAATTGGGTTTAGAGGTGTCAGAAGTGCAGGAAATGTCCTCAGGGTGTAATGTACCTCACACAAACAGCACATACAAAGTGCTACACTGTGAACACTGTGGCCACATAATAATGCAGCTGAAAGACACAGGAAATGGACAATTTTATCAAAATATATGTATGTCTCTCAGCAGGGCTGTGTGTATGTGTGTGTGTGTGTTTCATGGCTTGACTTCACTTTCCATCTTTCTGTCATGTTCTTTCTTTCCTTCTGGGCAATATTGCTTTTATGGCATTCTCTCTCTGTCTCTCTCTCACACACCCACATCTTTATTATTGTCACTTACCGGGTCTTTACATAAACTTATAGAAACTTCCTGGAGGCTTACACTAAACTTAATCATAACTGCTATTTGCCTAACCCTAACCTTATCCTCACTTTACTCTTATCATAAAATTCTACAATTTACTTTGTGAGGACGGTCATCCGGTCCCCACAAAGGAGGTGAATCACCACAGTGACACTGTACTTCCAGTTTTTGGTCACCACAAATACAGAAAAATAAGACCACACACACATACACACACCGAGCACGTAGTTTCTTTTGAAAGAAGTGACAACAGACATTTTTGACACAGCATATATTCCATATTAACATACATTCATAGGCAGTATAGTCTTCTTCAGTGTATAAGTCTTTACAGATTTACATTATGCCTCTATAATGATAGCACATATTTATAGGAAAGCTTGGCTCTGTGATGGTGGTGGTACAAGACAACAAGAGAGTCCTGACAGTGGCATTGTGTGTATCTGTGTGTATGAGGGAGAAACAGGGGAAATTGAAAATGTGGTTGGATGTTTGTTGCTGTGGGGCGAGGGCTCTATGTGCGCTTGGAGAGAAAGTGCTTCACTCATCATGCATGGTGAACAGGCTCAGCAACCCTCTGGCAGACCCCTTGGTGTGTGTGTGTGTGTGTGTGTCTGTGTTTACATTGTGTTTATTTGCTGGTGCAGCCGTGTCTCTGTGTGTTTACTCATGTTTGCTCTAAGCCAACTAGCATTTGACAAGTTCAAGATCTGTGTCAAACCAAATGAGCACACTGGATTTTCACAATATGATTTGAAATGGTAACAGATTTTTAAAAATCTCATCTGGAAATTCTTATAAGCTTTCTGGTTTCCCATTGCAGGTAGCAGCTGTGGATGAATACAGGCATGGTATGTAGGAGTTTTGTGTGTCTGATGCTCAGAACTTGTCAGCGCTATACAGGCCGACAGGAACAAGCGGACAGTGGCTTTCACCTGTCCATCATCATCCTTCCTCTGACAGAAAGTCTGAGTGTAAGTGAGTGGAGCAGCACTAGGGCGTTGCTGAAATAAATGACTCAAAAGCAACTGAACCTCAGCACAGCACATCGCAGAAAGTGCATCTCCAGCGTGTTCCGCTTTACTGTCCGTGTCCATCCTTTGACAGACTTGGCAGCTCCTGTTATGACATCCAACTCACCATGTTAGTCCCCAGAGCAGCAGCAGCAAGGACGGAGGGCAAACAACCCTCGTCTTGAACCCACCCTAACCCCTTAATCCCACTCACTGGTCTGCCCACTTATGGGTCCAATTTGTCTCTTTTCTCCACTCCTCTGTCCCCTCCCTCTAAGTCCACCCCGTCAATCTCCACAAATAAGTTAAGCATTACAAAAATAAGAAGCATCATTGGCAAACTAAATATGAGAGTGAGGGAGGGAGACAGAAAGCAAAAGATGCTCTCTACTTGAGAAGAAACAAACTGCCTCTGTAGCTTTGTAGGAAATTCCATGCATAATTTACTGATATCCATTATGGTGGTATAAAATGAATATGGGTGACGTTTAACCTCTCAGCCACTCAGTCTGTTTCCATTGACAAGTAGTAGGAGGATGGTGTGGTTTCAAGCAGGAGCAGAGGGAACTCCACATGTTCTCCTTGCTTCCTCTGGCCTTAGTAATTGAGCAGAAGAGTGGGGAGTTTGTTTTGTTCATTAGCAGTGCCTTCCCTGTGCCCCTCACTCCCATCACCGGCAAGTGTGCATCTCCACCATTTTGCGGCACTGCTTGCATTTGACATAACAGCACCAGTGGAACTTACAGCTGCACCTGTCCACCACCTCCACCTCCTGAGTCTGGAAGCCACGGCCACAGCACATCAACTCACAACCATCAATGGCCTTTGAGGTTCTGTTACACTGGCGGCCCACTGTGCCTAGCATGCCCGGCGTACGTGGATCATAGTCGCAGAAATCTGGACTGGGGTCCAAGTAGACCAGGTCTTCATCTGTGTGAGGTTTGAACTGGGAGTTGCGAGGCATCAGGGTTTTGGCAGTGCCCACCTTGTGCTGCTCGACCTCAGTGGCACCGTCAAACTTCTCCTTGATGACGTTGCCCACCTTGCGGAAGGGCGGCATGGCTTTCCAACAGGTCTTAACCTCACAGGAACCTGACACGCCATGACATTTGCACTCCACACGCATGTGGGACAGGATGGCCTGCAGAGATTCCAAAGAACCTTTGGTTAGCTGACAGGCACTGAAATAATGTGATGACATGTCACAGTCATCTTAATGATCTGCCACACTGTGTGTTCACAGTCACAACTACAGCAAACCTATCTACTGCTACCAGAGCTGAAGGGACTTAACTGCTGTGACTTAGTGTGCCAAAGGACCTGACTGGATATTTTCAACTGTTCCAGCTGCAAGCTTCTCATCTCACTCTCAGAAAGAGAGCAGTGTATTTTCCTAGCCGTTTAAGTTTAAAGAGCTCATGCCATGCTTTTCCTTGATTTAGATTTGTCTTGAATGACCTGAGGCTTGCCATATGTTTACCTCACATGATCTGACACTTGACTTGGACTTCCTCTAGCTCTTAGATAGTTCTGATTATGTTCTACAAGGGAGCTAATTCACTTTTAACACTGAAAGCACGTAGGTACCTTCCTGCCTGCCTCATTGTTGTGTAGGTTCATGAGCGCCCGACCGGAGGACTGGCCTTTACTCCTCTCTCTCACATCCACAAAGGACTGAGAAAAGGCCACTCCATATGCAATGTTATCACTGCAGCCCGACCACTGGAACCCTGTGACAATATATGAAGACAGAAACATAAAGTGGTTATCTGTGGGGCTGTATCGTCACCTTTTGAAGATGGAGAAAACATGGAGATAAGATGATAAAATTGATAGACTACAAATGAATGAAAATAAAATCAGTGTTTGAAAATGTTGCATGATTTAACCTTCAAATTTATTCCATTAAAATGTACTGAATCAGTTCTGTGTATGTTTGTGTGTGTGTGTGTGTGTGTGTGTGAAGGAGAGACAGACCTACCCTCTGGACTTATTCCATGTACATTGTGGTCACAGCCACATTTTTCCAGCTCTCCACTGCTGCATGCCCTTGTGACCGCAAACGCCACACTGGCTGCTGAGATGGCATACACAAAGGCTGCCTCACGAGTGCCTAGCACACACACATACACAAACACAGACACACAAAATAATATTGTTTCATTATGTAACTGAAACAAACTTCTCATTCTGAATGGCAAAAACCCCCAGTTTGTATCCAGATAAAGAGTGTATTAGTCCAAGGGAAGGAGCCCAGACATTAACATGTAGGAGGTGGTTAAGCTCAAAAATGGCACATATTTAAAAAAAATTCCCATCGAAATCAGCTTTGGAAACTGTTTTGAAGCCAATTTGCTTTATTGGTGTCAGTCAGCTTTATTGCTGCCCATCATATTGGTGTCTTTTCTGTGTCCTGATGCTTTCAGGGAGTCAGTGATGAGTACTGCTGCAGTGCATAATCTTACCCTGAGTGACCACTTTGCCAAACACAGGCATGGTCTCTAGAGTGGAGCAGTTCCATCGACGGTTGCGAAACTGGAACTGACATTCATCTATAGCCAGCTGGGCACCATGACGCACTGCATCCATCACCTCCACACTGCGCTTACAGATCTGGACCTGTAATAGAGCCACAAAGGCTTACAAACTGAAACACTGATTGTAGGCATATTTATGCCACTATCATATTGACTGTATGCAATAGAGATGGAACTCTTAACAGTATCTCATTATTTTTGGTAATTAATTTCACTGCAAAATGGTCAAAAATTAGAAAAGAAGCCCTTTAGTTTTGGGACATTTATCAGGAGGTGCACAAGCATCCAAAAACTCTTTGCAGTTGTTTGTTAACAATAAACTGCACAAAAAGCCAAAATAAATAAATAAATGCAGGCACACAGCTACCACACAGTTCCTATTATTTTATTCAGGTATGAAGAAAGCACCATCTTCTTGGTGTATGTCCATTTAATGCTGCAGTTTTACATGTATTGTTGCTGTGATATTCACATCCATGTGACTGAACAACCTTGCATACTACGTATATATATATATGTGTGTGTGTGTGTGTGTGCTCACACCCTCACATTTACGTCAGGCACAGTGGTTTTCACCCAGTTTCAATTCACTCCATCCCTCTACCTGCTGCAACTCTAGATTGTCAATCCCAGTTTAAAGTAATAAACAGGACAACTTTGTTTATTATATGTATTAACTTATTTATCTGTATATGTAAAAACCTAAAATAGGTAGGTAGCTGTTGTTTCATAACCAGGAACATATAGACACTGGTTGATAGAAACTGTCCTGTAATGTAAAACCTTGCACACATTCAATCCTACAACTCTCCATCTGTGTACTTCTGATATGTGCCATGAATTAACAGTACAACTATACACCATCGCATCAGTTTGTTTAATAAAAGCCTCGGCTGGCACTACAGATGTTTCACTGCATTATGTTTAAGTGCTTGTGTTCAGCATGTAACAACATGTACATAGATTTATTACACAGACTTACATGACTAATTGAACCATGATAGTCAGCAGTTAGAGGTGTGTACCTGTCTCTGGATGAGGCCTCGCAACCTCTCACACGTCTCCTCATCCCTGATGCTTCCCACTGATGACAGCTTGGCCAGGTACCTGACAGAAAAACAAAACACAACCCGCCAGGACCACTTTAGTGTGTAGTAGTGCTGGTTTGTTTCCTTCAAATGGTTTAATGGTGATGTGACAGAACATAGCAGGAGGGAAGAAGTTGAAATGACTGAATCTACTGTAATGTCTAAGGTTGAAGTGCTACAAGCTAAAGTGCAACACCTGCACTACAGGGTAACTTTGGCTGAAGTTGTCACAGCTGAGGTCCCCCTTCAGACCAAGAATGCATTCAGCTGAAGTAGGTGCAGGGAGGGCTGGTTCCCATGACATTGTGGGAATGTTTTGGGGAAATGTGTGATTGTGAGGACACTGAGAGGAGCGAAAGTGGCTTATCATACATACCACCTCCAGGCCAGACAGGTCAGGGAGATACCTTTCATACACACACACACACACATTCTAAGATGTGTGAGAAAATGGCACTGGTCTGGATGCCCTGACCCTCACACATCCACCTCACCTCACTTCAGTCTCATATCTCCTCACCCAGCTGCACTTACAGAAATAGGCTTTCTAATAAACCGGCAGTGAATCTCCCACATGTACTGTCTACACTACACAAGGTGTCCTAAGACGTCATTTAAACACATGTTGTGGCTAAGAAGCTTTGTTTTTCTAAAGCATAAGGACATAATAATTCCTCACTTCCAGTTCCATTTTACTTGTCATTTTTCTAGAAAAGCAAAGAAAGAAAACAGGTCACTATTGAAAACATTTGATTTAAAGAAACCGTTTCAACAAGTTTATGTACACTGTAACAAGTACAATTTTTTTGTATGTTTGTTTTTTAAGAATGAATTTTATTACTTAGAAAGATTATATATTTGTTGAAGTTTTTATGTAAAATGAACACATTTAAACAGTTATTTTTACTCTCAGATGGACAGAACACAACAATAAACAATAGTGTTCAAGTAAAGGAACATTTTTTCTTAAAATGTGGCTGTACTTCCTGAGGAGATTGAGGAGGTTTGGCATTTTGCCTAGGATCCTCAGCAACTTCTAAAATCACCAGGACTCCACTACCCTTTCTGCAGAGCATTTACCACCGCAGGGTGCATAATAAAGCTGCCTCCATCCTCAGGGCCCCACCCACCCCCAGCACGGACTGTTTATACCTCTGCTCTCCGGTTGGAGGCTCAGAAGTGTGAAATGCAGGACTTCTAGACTGAAAAACTCTTTCTTTCCAACTGCCATCAGACTCCTAAACAGCTGACTCAGGATCTACATCATGTATTTCTATCTGTTCTGTTTACATACTCATTTTGCACATGCATAATTGCACACTCACTGCTGAGTATTCGCACTCCACGGCTCCCACGTAGCACATATTCTCTCTGCATTATATTGTTTATAATATTGTATTTTCAATGAATATCACACTGTGTCTCCATGCTGGAGTCAGGAAGAGTTTAGCCTAGCTTAGGATAAAGCCTGGAGGCAGGGAAAACAGTTAGCCTGAATTTGTTCAAAGTGGAAAAAACCAACATCTCTAAAACTTGCTGATTAGCATCATGTATCTTGTTAGTTTAATGCAGAAACTTTAGTGTAAAACCACAACAATTTAGTGGGAGTTGCGAGCTGGAACTATATCTTGGCAAACAACACATGGATACAGAGACTGGGCACCACTTCCTGGGGTCTTACCAGAGAGGCTGCCAGGTTTGGTACCATGGTGCCTGTACAGAGACCTATACCAAAGTCTGTGTTTGCTAACAAACAAAAACTGCACAGAGATAGTGGACAATTAACTCACCCACAAAAACCACAAAAGGTCCATTTTTGCATTTCTGTCATAAACATTTTCTAGTCTTTATTTTAAGATAAGCTAAATATGCTCTGAACTTAAACACATAGACATTGACATTGATCTTCTCATCTCACTCTCAGAAAGAGAGCAGTGTATGTTCCTAGCCGTTTAAGTTTAAAGAGCTCATGCCATGCTTTTCCTTGTTTTCTGACTTATCTACAATGTTACAACAGTGAATTATCATCTTAGATGTGACCTAAAGCTCAAAAATGAGGTGTATGTATGTTCTAGTACTTGTATGCAGAAGCAACTCGGTTTATAGCAAAATTTTATATTATGTGATAGTTTAAGGATCTCCTTGAAAATATTAAGTAGAACAGCACTTACACATAACTGTATTAATATTACAATATCTGTAAGGTCAGAGAGATAAAGGTAGGCTCTGTCATCTTAATGATCAGCTCAGAGCACAGTACCTGATTGTTCTGACTGCTTGAGATCAGTGTGTCTGCTGCATATTATGTGATGCAGGTTGGCAAGAGGATTCTAATGACCCATGATGTTATTGTTGGAGCTACGCTACATGTTGGAATTATTTTCACTACCTTGGGACTGTATGTGGTCGTGTGGGGGAAGACGTAGCAACCACCGGTTGGATTTAGCGACCTTGGAGTTGCTTGAAAGAGAGTGATGTTTACATGTGTGACACAACACTTGCAACAGCAGTTGTGCACGTTCACAAACTATCCTCTCATTTTTAGAAAAAGGCTCTCTGGTTTTATTGTACTGAAATAATTACAGACTATTTGGAGTTATGATGGGTGCAAAGCTAATCTAGAGGTACCCAAGATTAAACATTAAATTGCTGGAAATGAGCCATGGGCTCTTTAAAGGAATGACAAAGCTAACAGTGTTATTTACCAGTCAAATCTACACTTGATCCAAGTATTCACATCTCAAATATAAATAAATAAATAAATCGGTTGCATTCAATTCAAATAGCACATACACAGTTCATAAGAGTGTCCATGGCCTAATAATTATCAGTTTATTTTACACAGCAATGGGCTACACAACCACTAACAACTACAGGTGACATCCAGTGAAGCACTACAACTGTATAAAACAAGCTTGTTGAAGTGACAAATGTAATGAATGTGATAACCATTTTCTTGAAGGGATGAACTCTCTTTGCAGTCTTCTTCATACAACAGCCTCATGTGAGTGTGAATATTAAAATAGCCCAAACGAAAAGTCCAACTAAATGTACTTTTGGGCTGTTACTCTGTAAAAACATGCATGTTTTTCCTTAAGGTTTCTCAAACTGGCTTTATGAGTCTTGGGTTATGAGTTTCCAAGACCACACATGCCTTTGTAAAGCCCATCTCAATCAGACCATGGCACAGCTCCAGACTGCTATCATATTAATGACCCAGCTAAATATAAAGTCATGCTACCACCAGGATATATAGTTATAACAATGGGTTCATGACATTCTGATTATTTATTTTTACTGTGTATAATTCATCTGCTACCTACAACTAAGCTCTGTTAACTTTCCTGAGCAAGGCACAGAAGTATTATATGTTTAGCATTAGGTCATTATGTTTAAGACTCTTTGTAACTGTGGTAGTACAATTGGTATATCATCCTTCCAGAAGTCAAGCCTCCTCTCTATTCACCCTCTCATCTCCTCCTCTCAACAGTCTAGATAATCCTGCTCTCTCTTTCTCACTGTCTCTTTGATGGCCTTCTCCTCTTTCCATCCAGACAGTGTCACTATTTACCACTCATCGCTGTGATAACCTCGCTCTCTGCCACTCCACCACATCTCAGCCACATCTGCACACATCCACCCTCAGGGATGACATCACTCTCTCAGAAAGTTGAAGCACCACCAAGGCCCTGTCCTTCATCAGAGCGTCTGCAGTGTTTTATGTCCTGAACCCCCAGTATTTCTGTGTTAGCAATGAATTAAGAGACTACTCTATGTGTTGCTGTAGTTGCCCTCAACTCTGTGGAGCGTTTGACATATTTTAGGGCACTGCTCTTATGAACCCACTCTACAACATGCTAGATCAGACAGAAGCAGTTAGAGACTAGCTTGTGAACACAGTCGAGCATTTAGCTGGTAATGAGCCAGAGTTAGTAGACCAAAATTAGAGCTAGAAACAAGGTGAATAAACAAATAAACTATTTATTATATGTCTGAAAGACTAAAATTTTTATCATCTGTATAACAATAAAACACTCTATAAAAAATGGGCGAAAAAAACTATTTTTCTACCCAATTTAATATCTGTGCATCAAATTCAATTTTTTTTTTTTTTTTTTTTTTTCTCAAT